CCCCTCCTCATTTGGTGACTTGCTCACTGTGGGGCAGCATCAGCTTCCCGCATCAGCGTGCTGGTTTCAGTCGTGGCTGCTGTGCTTCCAGTCCACCTCCCTGCTAATGCACCTGGGAAAGCCACGGAAGGTGGCCCCTGACATCCGTGTGGGAGACCAGGATGGAGTTGCTGGCTCCTGGCTTTGGCCGGGGCAAACCCCAGCTGTTACGACCATTTCAGGAATGAAGCAGCAGATGGAAGCTTTCTCTCTCTCTCTCTCTTTCTACTTCACTGTCACTCTGCCTTTCAAATAGATTTATTTTTTAATGTGAAAAACTTGCACCATTAGCCAGTTTGTTACCCCTGATTTAGTACTTCAGTACCTTAAATCCTTGTGGCTTTTCAAGACACATCATGTAATATTAACGAAGACACCAGGCCTTCTGTCTGGATTAATTTTTTATGAACAGTAATACGTCTGATTAGGCTGGCAGATTGGCTGGGGCTGGTGCGAGGAGGGTGCGTGGTGGGGTTGTGGGGATGGTCTCTGGCACGCAGCGTCCACCTTCTGTCCACAGCATCTGTGTCGCATCCGTGCTAGTCCCAGCGTGAGCTTGGCGTTGGTTCTGATTGGGACGAGCTGTGTTACTAATGACATAACAAGAGTGTGACGGATGACCAGCTAGCGTGAGGAGTGCCGTGTACCTGGCCTGTAGGGTGCCCAGGGCGGGGAGAGTGGTGGCTTCTCTGTGTCCCCGCGTCCCTTCCTGGTCCTGACATCCAGAGTACAGTGCCAGTTCCCCTACAGAGGAATCTAGCTCCTCCCGGAAACCCCTGGGGTTACCTGGCACAGGTATGGGTCTCCCCTGAGGGTGCACCTGCTTTCTAAGAAGGTGGCCTGGGGACTAGGCTGCGGGGTGCCAGTGTGCGCGTTTGGTCTTGCCAACGCCTCAAGGTTGTTTTGCTCTTCTAGCTGAGCATCGAGCAGGCCCAGACTGTGGCTGAACAGGTGGAGATGAAGGCAAAGGTGGCTCAGTCGGAGGTGAAGGCCGTCACTGCAAGGCACAAGAAGGCCCTGGAGGAGCGCGAGTGCGAGCTGCTGTGGAAGGTAAGGGGGCCGGGCGCGCCCTCCGCCAGCTGCCGCCTGCGGAACACTGGGTCGCTGTCCCGGAAGTGGCCCTGGGCGGGAAGATGCAGGGTGGGCCGTTGGGGCGCCCCCTGGAGCATGGTGGGTGCCATGGTGCCTTCCAGAAGGCGCTCCGAGGCCGAGCCGGGCAGGGGCCTCCGGCTCTCT